CAAATTCCAGGCCAAACTTATTTTTTCTTCCTTTATTATGTGTACGGTATACCTGTGTACCTTTATATACAGGCATGCTAACCCATATTGTAACATTTTTAAAGCGTATTTCTATAACATATCGAAGTGTTTTTATGTTAACACATAAAACATGATCAAATGTTGATGTAATCTTGTAATCTCTTACACTTAATTACCACAATAATCAAATGTTTATAGTTTCCCACAATAGCAGTTTTGTTTTGACAAAGTCTCACTGTTTTGTAAGAAATAGAAAGCAATACAAAGCTGGATCCTTTCAGCATACTTGGGTTGAAAAGAAACCACTAGGTAGCTTGTTTTGTTTACAAATGTTTTTTCAAAAAATTATATTTCATCTTTCTTAATTTATTAGCTAAAATTAAACACTTTGGTCCTATGTTAAACTTTTTAAAACATAAATAACTTTGGTCCAAAAACATAAAGTTCCCTTTTTAATAAATGCTCGTTAAAATATAAATCATGAATAAATCATTCTATTAAAACCAAAGATATTCTCATTTTAATATATGTTTTTGATTAATCTGGAGATATCCAGAATATATGAAAGAATCCAAATTAATTTTTATGAGAAGGTATAACCTTAGTAGATTCTTTTTAGATATTCAAATGAACTTATATTTTTTTTTTTTGCTAAACTTATATTTATGTGTCCATATGATGAAAATAGTGGGTGTCTTCCAACTTAGACTGCTAAGAGCAATCTGAAGTCCACCTGCCATTATACAACCATTAATCACATAGTAATATCTATTTTTTTCTTAAATAAAAGTCATCACTCACCAGAAACTTGAAATTATACAAATTTATTTTTTTAAACAATTGGGTTTCATTTAGACGTATATATGATTCTTTAACCCATGTGTTCTATTTTCCCAGTCCTCCTAGTAGTGACATTCGACATTTATTTGCATGGTTAAAATGGTTAACAATAATTATTTTGCATCCCATTCACTCGTTTTATCAAGTCGGAAAAAAGGAACCCCATCAATATAGGATTGTTTGCAAAAGAAAAAAAAAAAGTAATAGGATTAGGCATAATAGTAGTTTCACAGGTTGCACACTATTACATCGGAAACTGGCGCCGTACGTTTTTTAATTTGAGCAACAAAAAATTATGTCATACACTGATGCTTATTGTAAACCTTGATAACTTAACGGAACATATATGCTTATCACATTATATTTGTAATCCAAAAACCCACCTCTATTCATAGGAATAAATATAGAGATTTATCATTTCCAACTCTGACCATAAAATTTTTTTATATTTTTTTTCTAAACAGAAAAACTTGTTATAAATCCATATATTAAAGCAAATCCACATCTAAATAGAGATATCTATTGTTGTCAAAAAAAATAAAATAAAGATATGTATTTTAAAGGAAAACATAAATATGTACATAGTAAATGCTCTAATACCGAAGAACAATCACCCTCTTCTTTCTCTAGAAGATCCTTTCTAGAGCACCGGACCCTTTTCTTGTTTCCTGTAACAAGAAAAGTTCAAATCTTTTCAAAACTTTACGACTTCCCCTATCTAGACCTACTAACCATCGCTTCATATTTCCTCCCTCCTCTTTATATTGATCTTGCCAGACCTTCTTCTTCCACATAATAAAAATGAACACAGATATGGATCAAGCTTTCTTAAACCTCTCCCTCAATGACGATAACGATGCCCCATACACTCTGCCAGATCTCCCGCAGTTCTTTGCGACTGAGAGAAACGCATGCAGCCTGATCGGCCGTACCCTTAACCCAGAATTTCAAAACATCTCTAATCTGATCCTTGATATGCCACAAAAATGACAAAAGGTGAATCGAGTCAGAGGAATAGCACTCACCAGAGATCGTTTCCTGTTCATTTTCTCACATGCAAATGACCTCCAGGATGTTCTAGATAAAGGCATGCAAACCTACAACGAATGGGGCTTGGCAATAGAGAGATGGGTGGAAAACCCTCCTCCTAGCTTTCTCCAGTTCGTCTCACTCTGGGTCCGGATTAGCAACATCCCGGTGAATCACTTCACGGAGCCGGCCATCGCTGAACTAGGTGGACTCATCGGTCATGTTGAACTCGTTGCTTTTGACCCTGAGAAATCACACAGACAAGACTATGTTCGGGTAAAGATAAAGCTTGAGGTCACCAAGCCGCTTAAAAAGTCAAGGATTCTCAACCTTCCCGGAGGAGGACAAACAACAATCTTCTTCTTTTATGAAAAAGTGCAGAAAAGGTGCACCTTCTGTCAACGCCTGACACATGCAAAAGAAAGATTCCCACTTTTAGCCGATCATCAAAGAGTGCATGCAGCCAATGTCAAAAAGAATCGTGCTTTTTTAACCCTAATAACTCAAGACTTATCCCTCAAGGCGATCCTCTCTTTGGTGTCCTACAAGAAGACCAAGTAGATCTCAATCCTATCTCTGGACGTCCCAAGATTCCACCGGAAATCCTACAGGAGATGAGGAACTATCTCTTAGCAGCCAGTCAAGAAGACAGACATGTGCGGGAACAACGAGTTATCTTCTCAGTCAAGGAAGCTGAAAACAATCCATCCGATCTTTACTGCTCCGCAAACCACAAAGGAGATAGACAAGGGGAAGGGTATAGTCTTTAACTTCGATCAAAGCTTAACTGGTACTCATGCCTCTTACCTTAGCTCCTCTTCTCCTAAGTTGATGGCTTCAGCTATAGCGGCTAGTGATGCACTCACAGTCTCACAGAACAAGGTCTTTGACAGGCTTACTTTACCTACTAACCTGTCGTTCTCATATGGTCTTGCCAGTAACAGCTCAGGAGTTTTCTCAAGAATCGCTCGACTACCCTCAGAAAGCCCAAAGAAGCAACCTGGAAGGTACAAGAAAGTTCAGAAAGAGCAAAAGAAAGTCACTAAGTCATAACAACCAAAGTCCAGCATGAAGAGAAAGGCGGAAGACGACATTGCAGACTCGTTCTCCCCCTCAAAGAAGGTGAATCAAGGAAAGACCAACGCTGGTATCCCTCTCAACAAGGATGATGATTCTCACAACGTTTCTACCTCAACTTCTGCTACAATGGCGGGCCCGAAGGAGGGACCGTCCAACGCTTAATCAAGAATGAGTTTTATCAGTTGGAATTGCCGAGGTTTGGGATATCCTCATGGCTTGATAATCCAACACCTCGTGGAACTACGACGTATGTATTTTCCAGAGGTCTTATTTCTTATGGAAACTATGCATCCTAGATCGGTTCTAGTAGATTTGCAAGTTTGGTTAGGATATGATAATGTAAGCACTGTAGAACCTGTTAACTCTTGGGGGGGGGGGGTTTGGCTCTTTTTTGGAAGGACAGTGTAGCTCTTAACCTTTTGTATCAAGACAAGAATGTACTCGATGTAAAAGCTTGCTATCAGGACAAATATTTCTATTTTTCTTGTGTATACGGAAACCCAAACTACAAGCTCATACATATAGTTTGGGAAAGACTCTTGGTTTAGCTTAAATAGGACATGAAGTTGGTGTATGTTTGGAGACTTCAATGAGATTCTAAACAACTCTGAGAAGATAGGTGGTCCTAGAAGGAGTGACTCTTCTTTTGAAAATTTTACAAACATGTTGGACGTTTGTGGAATGACCGAGCTTCCTAGTGTAGGTGATGGGTTTACCTGGAGTGGAAAAAGATGTAACAAATGGATTCATAGTAGATTAGATCGAGCTTTCGGAAACAATGATTGGTTTGACCTTTTTCCTGCTACAAACCAAGCTTTTCTAGAGAAGCGAGGATCAGACCATAGACCATTTTTCATCAAACTCATTTTCTCACAAGACTCTTATAGAGGATCATTTCGTTTTGATAAAAGGATATTTCTTAAACCACAAGTTCTGGAAGCGATTACTGAAGCTTGGAACCCAACCAACAAAAGTTCTTACCTAAATGTGGCTTCAAGAATCAAATCATGTCGGAAGGCACTGAGTAGATGAAAAAAGGACAATCAATCAAATTCCCAACAAAAAATCTTCCAACTACAAGCAGCTTTGGAACATGAGAAATCTCTGCTCTCACCCTCTTCTTGTAAGATCAATGATCTTACTAACTCCCTACTACTGGCATATAAAGAGGAAGAAAATTTTTGGCAACAAAAGTGTAAAGATGACTGGATCATCCATGGGGATGGAAACACCAAAATCTTCTACACGGCTGTTAAGATCGCTTGCTCGAGGAATAGAATATCAAAACTTAAAGACTCTCAAGGAAATACCAAACAGTCTGAAGCATCTAAAGCTCAAGTAGCCATTAATTTTTTTTGTGAACTCTTTCAGTCTTCTAACTCAGTGGACTACCCAAACCTCCTGCAAGACATACCAACAAGAGTTACAAGGGACATTAACTCTGTTCTTACTAGACTAGTCACAAAGGAAGAAGTCAAAGAAGCAGTTTTCTCTATCAAACCAGAAAGTGCTCCTGGAGCCGATGGTATGTCTGCCTTTTTCTTCCAAAACTATTGGGAGATCGTAGGTGATCAGCTTACCAAAGAAGTCCTGCAATTTTTTCAAACTGGAGACATGCCAAAGGAATGGAAATACACTCAAATCTGTCTCATTCCAAAGAAGCCTAATGCTAATACTATGACTGACCTAAGGCCAATAAGCCTATGTACGGTTATGTATAAAACAATTTCAAAGATTATAGCTTCAAGACTACAGCCTTTTCTCCCAGACATAGTATCTCCAACTCAATCAGCCTTTGTATCTGACCGTCTCATCTCTGACAACATAATTCTGGCTCACGAAGCAGTGCACAGTCTTAGAACTCATAAAGATATCTCCAAAACCTTCATGGCAGTCAAAACCGACATGTCAAA